CAAGTTACGGGAGCGGTCGGCCAAGGTGCTTCGATTGTACACGGCGAAGCTGCGGACTCTCTGGCGACGCAGTGACGACTTCGACGACATGGACAGCCACGACCAGTGCATGCTTCTCTTTCAGCTCAACCAACACTCGACGCTCGACGATGTACTCACCAAAATGACTGCGGCCATCATGGCAGCTGTCTCCAAGGAAGTCCCAGCAACGCCCGAATGCGACGACAACGACAGGGCAACCACCAACGAGCGCAAGATAGAGGGTGGAGCTTTGCACGACGCAGCGACAAGTCCGACCCAGCAGATTGCTGCGATGGCGGCGCAGCTGGAAACGGTGACGAACAAGTTGGAAGCAGTGACGAGCCACAACACCGCGATGGAAGCCAAATTAGAAGCAGTGACGAAACAGAACGCTACCATGTCGGTCGAGTTGCAGTCGATAACGGGTCAACTGACGACGGTGACTGCAATGCTCTCCCTTTTGAGCCGCGATGGGTCATCGTGAGCGCCAACGTCAGCAACACTAGCCTAACGCTGCACGCGACACGTTCAACAATGATATTGGTCGTGTTCTGTTGCCAGTATTGTGTGGAGGCATGAAAATTCGCTGAACGCTTCAGGGTGGGCTTTTTTGTCAAGCTCAATGCAATGCGGACGGGAGGCATACGTGAACGTTCGTCGACCAGCGCCGAGCTCACCAGGTTGCACTTTTTGAGTTGCGAAGTGCAAAGAAAATTTGATTGGCTAAAAATATGTAGATATCCACCAATCCATACGGCGCATTTCATGACGCCGCAATACACATATCTCTCGTTGTAGGCTGTTTCCAGCGACGAGACCTAGTCTATTATGCTCCCTCTAGTGCCCTTTATCTATGGACGCAGTTTCGGCGCTTTCATTTTTTAACGTACCGAGCCGACTGGCCCGCTGTGGCCCGGCGTGAAATCGAAGTTCGAAGCCATCGATTCGAAGTTTGAGCTCAAGATACCGCAAGAAAGGCCAGATATGCGTGGGTCGGCGTGGCAGCGACGCAGCGTCCTCGCGCTCTCGAGCCTCTTCGTCCTCGGGAGCACGTACTGCTACGACAACCCTGGCGCGCTGAAGACGCAGCTGCAGCAACACTTTGGCCGTACTATCCCGCGCGCCGAGTTTGAAGTCTACTTTGTACGCGATGCATTTCCTTTCCATTTCACAAATTGCCAAGGTAGAACCTCAGCTACAGTCTCTACTCGGTGCCCAACGTCCTCTTGCCCTTCTTTGGCGGCGTCCTTATCGACACGTACGGCGTCTCGTTCATGGCGCTCGTACTGGCGTCGCTCATTCTTGCGGGTCAAGTCGTGACGGCGCTCGGGAGCTCGTTTGAAAACATCTACCTCCTGCTCGTACATCCTCGATACTATGATGTGTGCTGATGCGAGTCTAGGCCGGTCGTGTCCTCTTTGGTCTGGGCGGCGAGACAATGTGGGTAGCCCAGACCACATTTGTGACTCACTGGTTCAGCCCCATGGAGCTTGGTGCGTAGACTAGTGGCACGTTGACTGTCGACACGGTGGCATAGGCTTTGCGATTGGCATCAACAACTGCGTTGCGACGCTCGGAACGCTCCTTAACGACGTGCTGAGTCCGTGGATCGCAGCGGCCTTTGACGTGACCTTTGCTCTTTGGGTCGGCAGCTTTGTGTGCGTCTTCTCACTCTGTGCAACGATCCTCTTGGTACGTCTCGAGTCGACGCTGCCATTCGAGAGGGCGTCACCAGCTGCACCTGTGCGTCTTTGGGACCTACGCCGTTTCAGGTAACCACTCTCAGTTCTTATTTGTTGTGGAGTGCAGTCGATGTAGCCTTGGGTTTTGGCTCATTGCGGTCCTCTACATTGTGATAAATGCGTGCACGGGGCCATTCGCGAACGTCGCGGGCAGTGTTCTCCTCGAGCGCAACTACTTTATCGAGCCGCCTATCGACTGCCGCCGCTGCGGCCTCGGCGCGTACCTCAACCACACCTGCGAGACGCTCGCACCATCGTGCCCAATGTCGCCGCCCTTTGCATGGCCGCTGCCGCAGCTCGCGGCCAACTGTTCGATCGTCTCGGCGTTCGACCAGTTCAAGTGCAAGAAAGGCCCACCGTACCTCCAGGACGACCAAATCAACTGCGATGCAACGGCGTGGCGCCACGGGCCACTGACCCACATCTACTGCAGCAAAAAGATCGACGCGACCGCCAAAGCGACAGCGATGATGGCCATCACGCCGCTCGTGTCGGCCGTCTTTTCGCCGCTCAGCGGCAGCCTCGTGGACGGTCTTGGGGCGCGCGCGAGCTTGGGTCTCGTCGCCGACGTGGCGATTGCGGCGGGCCATGTGCTCGTGCGCTACACGACCAGCGATGTCGCTCTCGCCTTGACCCTCTCTGGGATCGGGCAGAGCTTATTTGCCGCAGCCATGTGGTCGGCGATTCCATGTACGACCATTTTGACTGCGGCTAGCGCATGGCTCATGTGACGGTAGTCGTCGTGCCACCGCGCTACGTGAGCACTGCGTTTGGTGCCATCACATCCCTCTCGGTAGTATCCTTGCGAGTGATGGTATACGTGCAGTTGGTGATACCTTGCGCTAGAACGTGGGCCTTGCGACCGTGCCGTTGATTGTGGCACATGTGTACAGCCGCCAGCAGCACTACCTGCCGTCGGTCGCCAATGTATTTGTCGTGCTCAGTGCCTGCGGCGTCGTCCTCGGTCTCTGCTTGCTGGTCGCTGACGCCACCGTCTTACGCCGCGCGCTGAGTCGGCGCGAGGTAGCCGAAGCAAGTGCGAGCACCGAGCAGCTCTTGGACGCTTCGGACCGCGATCTGTAACTTGGAATTACATGTCTCTTCTGTCCGACACCACCACAATCTGCAACAAAGGTCACATGCGAGAGGACCGCAAGCCTTCCGAGTGCAGGGCATCGGACCAGCCCGTCCTGGGTGGGCTCCTGGTAAGTATAGATGGACTCACTTCAACCAGCTCCACTGGTGGAGGCTGTCGTGCAGGAGTATCATGGAGGCGATCACCTGGAAGTGATATCACGTGGTGCGGGCAGCTTCGAAATAGCAAGCCATGTGGCGCGACGGCAACTTCAACACCGCCATTGTGCTCGCGGTCGGCAGGAATTCGGTGCATTTGCATTGCCTTCCCGAAGGAATGGCTGGCTACTCGTGTACCGCGGTGGCTACTACAGTAGCCGGCGACAGCTCCGAGGAGCTTGGACGTGTGGCGGTGGGTGGCGGACCGACGGTCGCCACAGTGGACTTCAATGCAGTGCAGTTTGCCCTTTAAACCATGCCCTCTGATTGGTCTAAATTTCATTCGATGCAGCTTCGAGCTTCGGATTTCGGCCAATCGAACGTTAGAACACAATGGTCGGCCGTGTATTTGCATATTTTCACACTTTCCGAATACTCAATCAGCCGCGTCGTAGGATTGTGGAGGTGCACATACAAACACCAAGTGTATTGCACGAAAAATTATGCAAATTGAGCGCAGTGCTCGAGGTAGATGGAAATTTTCGCATTTCCATTTTGGCGGCTGCGAAGCATGTCGACGATGCAGAGCCCGGCGGGGGATACCCGCAGCTCGTTCAAGGTCATGAGCCCGAAGGACCTCATGGCGCAGCTCCAGAGCAAGGCCAAGGACGACGACGAGGACGACGACGACGAGGACGACGACGAGATGGACTACAGCGAGACGTACATGGTCGACCTCCTCATCGAAGGCAACATGGTGCCCCTCTTGAAGCGCCTCCAGACCGAGACGATCGAGGAAGACGACTTGCTGGCCGTCACGGTACGCTTGCGCCTCCGCATGCGTTCGGTGGCTCATACCGGCTGGGTAGATGGACCTCAACATCCTCTCGGCGGCTGCCCTGTACGGCAACCACAAGGTCGTCGGCCTTGTCTTGCAGAAGACCAACTACAAGCTGCTGCCCGACGTACGTAGTCGTCGCTTCGCCTCCCCTCGATCGTCGAGCTCATGAAGCGATCGTAGTATACGTACACGCCCATCTACTACGCTGTGTACAACAACTTCAAGCGGACGGTCAAGGTGCTTCTCGACCACATCCACGGGATCGACCTCTCGGCCACGGACGAGGTAGACATACATGCATCAATGTTGCAAGATGCAGCGGACTGTCGCGTAGTATGGCTCGACGACGCTGCACATTGCGGCCGCGTATGAGCACAACGAGGTGCTCCAGATGCTGTTGGACCGCGGCGCGCGCGTCGACTTTGCCAACGAGCACGGCGAGACGCCGCTGCACAAGGCCGCGGCCCACGGCAACGTACTTGGCGTTTCGATCTTGCTTCGGAACGGCGCGTTCGTCAACAAGCTCACGGCGGTACGACTGGATGTTGCCATACTGTCCTGTCCTGACGTTCAACTGCTGGGTAGGGCGGCGCGACGCCGATGCACGCGGTCGTCTCGTCGTGCGAGGAGCCCGAGAACGCGCGCCAGGTCGTCGACGCATTGGCGATGGCGTGCGCCAACCTCGACATTAAGGACAACGTACGACCTCGAATGCTCTGAGATCACGATCGATGATGCGTGCTTCCTTAGGATGGCCACAGCATCTTGGACGTGTGTGCCACCGATGCGCTGCGCAAGCAGATTGAAAAGGAGATTGCGTTCCGCGTCAACTTTCCGATCCACTGCATGGTCCGCAACGGCGACGAGGTGACGCTGCGGTCGTGGCTCGAGCACATCAACGCCGATGCGCTCGCGGCCGGGTCCGAGTGGAAGGGCAAGTACAGCCAAGGCGGCGTCTGGTCGGACGCGAGCTTTACGGTCACGGCCTTTGTCGTGCCGGCCGAGAAGGAGTACGTCAAGTACCGATTTGTGGGCGCCGGCACGGACGCGAATGGCCCGTACACGATCTCGGGGTCGTGGCGCGACGACGACGGCATTGAGATGTTCAAGGCGTACTACAGCCAGCGCGTCGAGTACAACGGCAGCTTTGACCCGGACACGCGCCTCTTTACGGGGACGTACGAGGCTGGCAACTCGGAGGGCCCAATTGAGTTTCAGCCGCCGCTCTGGCCGTGCACGCAGTGCAAGGTGCTGATACCGGTGGAGCATGCCGCATGCGTCGAGTGTGCGGATCCGTCGCTCAACGAAGAGATCACGGACGACTGGATCGAAGACAAGCGGGTCGAGCTCGAAGAGTCGCTCGAGCGCATCGCCGACGAGATCAACAAGGACGACGAAGATGGCCGGACCGCCATCATGTGCGCGGCGATGGAAGGTCACCCCAAGATGCTGCACATCCTCCTGCCGTACTACAAGCGCGACTGGCTTTCCAAGACAGACCACGTACGATCATGGTCTCTTCAGGAAATGGTGGCATAACGTGCGATGTAGGCGGGCAAGACGGCGCTCGACCACGCGCTGAGCCGCAAGCTCGTGTGCAAGCGCAACGTGGAGAAGAAGACCAACGACGACACGTTCGAATGCATTGAAGTGCTCTGCAGCATCGGTGGCCTCGTCGTGGATGCCCGCTCGATCGTACAACTGCGTTATGAGGTCGGTCAAGGACTCACATGTTGTGCGCTGTAGCCCAAGCGCATGGCGTTCGAGAAGAAGCACCAAAAGTGCTTTGGCGACTGTGAAAAGACGGTCGAGGAAGTGAGCTTGCCTGCGCTCGCCCAAAACAGCAGCTGGGAAGACATTGAAGGGTATTTGAAGGAGCCGCTGACGCCGAGCATTCTGCACAAGCACGACGAGCACGTACGTCGTGGCCATCTTGTGTCGGGCGATGCGACATGTCGGGAGTAGGGCAAGTCGATTCTGCACCACATTTGCGAGAACGGCAAGACCGAGCTCTTTGCGCTCCTGCAGCGCCAGCCGCATTTTGACCGGGATCTCTGCACGTCCGAAGGCGAGTTTCCGCTCTTGCTCGCAGCCAACAAGTCCAACTTGAAAATGGTCAAGCTGCTCCTCGACGCTGGCGCCGACCCGACCAAGATGGTGACGCCCGCCCACACCGATTACCAGGTACCGATGACGCATCGCTTGTGGCAACGCTTAGACCATTATTGTCTGCAGAATTTCCGCAAAAACCAGCTGGGGCTTGTCGGCGAAGGCAAGTGCTTGATGTATTTGCGCGCCAAGGCGGACCTCAAGAAGAAGTACCCGCTCTACTACATTGCGCGCGTCAAGACCTTGGCCGAGGCCGAAGAGCACAAGGCGGTACGTTGCGACATGTGGATCGAGCACGAGACGACGTGTGTCTGTAGGCCGAGCGGTCGGCGATGCACGTGGCCGTGTTGCACAAGCTGCCGGTGCCCATTGTGCAGGAGCTCATCGACGAAGACCTCCATGTCGTCCACGCCATGGACAAGGTACTGCGTTCATATCCTACAAGCTCATATGAACACATGGGTGTAGAACAAGGAGTCGCCTCTCTTTCACGCGGCACGTATGGGCTTGGAGGACCACGTCGACTGCCTCCTCAAGAATGACGCGGACGTCGATACGATGAACCACGCGGGGCAGACGCCGCTCATGGTGGCGGCGGTTGCGGGCCACACCAAGATCGTGCTGCTCCTCCTCAACGGCTTGGCCGATATCGATGTCGAAGACGACGTACGCTCGGACACCGTTTTCTTTTACGATCTAATGTTGCTATTTAGGACGGCATGACAGTTGTGAAGCTGCTCGACCAGTGGCTCGCAACGAACGTGCCCAAGGGCAAGGGCGTGACGAAGAAGGAGCAAAGCGCGTCCGAGCAAGCCAAGATCAAGACCCTGATCCTCAAGGAAGACCACGAGCGCGAGACGTCGGTGCAGTACCGCGAGAAGCTCGCGAGCTCCCTCGTCGACCTCAACGTGATTGACGCGTTCAACGGCAACGGTTTTGCCAAGGCCATCAACTGCTCGCCCGTGCTCGGCCGCACGTTTCTCAACGACTGCGTGACGATGGACCGTCACTCGGTGCATTTCGCCAACGTAATTGCGTCGTCCCGATATGACAGGTGTCTAACAGGACGTGAATTAGATGGGCGAGGTCTATGGCGAGAAGGTCCGGAGCAGCGCGCTCTACTCGGTCCTCAACATGAAGACGGACGACGAGGACCTGATTTTTGAAGCAAAGACCGAGTGTCTCGAGCACGTGGTCATGCGCCGCGTGATCCAGATCAAGTGGGAGCTCTTTGCGCAGCGCAAGTACCTCGAGAACCTCATCATGTACGGGCTCCTCCTCCTCACGATGACGATCTCGTCGATCCTCTTCGACAAAGACTCGATCAAAGCGGAGAAGACGATCGTCAATCCAGTCGACTTTTGCCTCGTCGTCGGCGTCGTCGCGGTCGTCTTTGCCGCAACATCGTTTGTCATGGTGCAGTGGCTCCGCCCACGCGCGCTCTGGCGGCTCGCGCGCTTTGGGTACGACGGCAGCCTCGCGTTCGAGCCGACGCTTGTGATTCCGGACCTGCCGAGCTACAAGGAGACGGCCAAGAAGCGTTTGTTCATTGCGACGCTCGTGCTTACGGTGGGATTCTCGATGCTGGCGTTGGCGACGGTTCTCGTGCTCGGCATCAAGTCGTTTTTCCCGTTCTTCAACAACTGCGTGCTCGCCGCCTCCGCACTCTACTTTATCTTGGCCGAAGCGCAAGAGTTCAAGGCGTTGGGCTTCAAGTACTTTGGCGACTTGACCAACTGCGCGCAGCTGTTTGTGTACCTCACGATCGTCGCGTTCTACGTACCCATGAAGCTCGGTATCTTTGGCGCCATGGCCCTCCCGATTCCGATCGGCTTTGGCGGCTTCCTCACGATCTTCCTCTGGCTGCTCTCGATCCAGTTTCTCGAGGTCGTCCCGACCGCCAGCTACCTCCTCCCGATGATCTCGAACCTCATGGGCGACATTTGGAACTTCTTCATCCTCCTCGCGGTCTTCCAAGTCGGCATCACGATCACTTACTACCAGATCTTTACGGGCCGCGACGACGATGCGTTCGGGAGCCTCGCGCAGTCGTTCTACACGACGTACTTTATCCTCTTTGGCAACCTCCCGACCGACTCGCTCGGGTCGTTTACGAGCTTTGAGAAGAGCGGCGAGCACTTCTTGTACCTCTTTACGGTCTTTCTCATGATGTTCCACGCGGCCGCGGTCGCCATCATCCTCATGAACCTCCTCATGGCCTCGATGAACAAGACGGTCGACGGCGGCCTCGAGCGCGCGCACACGGAGGCGCTTGCGAGTTATGCGCAGGCCATTCTGCGCCTCGAGCTCAGCATGAACTACAGCACGGAAGAGAACGTCGTGCTCATGCACCTCGCCCCGAGCGTGCTCAACCCAATCTTCACCGAGCCGGTCCAGAAGGCGCTCCTCAAGGTCACGCCGGAGCAAGAAGAGATGATCCAGAACCACATTGACGCGACCGAGTCGTGGAAAGCCAAGTCCAACGAGCTGCAGACGGCTGTCCTCACGGCGTTCGACGTGTTCTTTCACGGCATTGCGCACGTCGAGCACTTTACCAAGCTGCCGGCCAAGACGATTCTGGCCAACGAGCTCCAGCATGCGGGCATCGCGCGCGCCAAGCTCGTGCGCCATTTTGAAGACGCGGCCAAGTGCCGCGGCCAGCAGGACCGCGTCGCGCTGCTGCAAAAGTACCAGAAGATCGTGCGCAAGACCTTGTCGGACATGGACAAGGCGCTCCACGACGTCTGGACGCCGGACACTGACGAGCCTCAGCACCTCCGCTGCGTGCTGGCGTACCAGCTCGCGCACCAAGCCGATTTGCACGACGACATTGTGTCGACGGGTGCGGCGATCGCGACCATCTTTGACGACGCAATCAGCGAGGCGACTGCCGACAAGCTGGAAGAGCCCAAGGCCAGCGAACTCCTCGCGTGTTTGAGCCAAGTGGACGCCAAGGGTGGCGCCGCCGCCGATCAGATCGACGTGATGCGCCGCAAGCTCGAAGAGCTCATGGTCATGATGGCCGCGATCAAGCCGTAGACACTGCACCGAGCAATTTTGAATACATCTACATGTGTGTACACATTGTCTGTCTATTTCGGAAGCGGTGCCAAGCACTGGCACGGACATGCGCAGGTAACAAGCAGTGTTTAGCGCTTGGTCGAGTCCAAGGACCATGGAGCTGAGCCGAATTCCAAGGCCATGCAGTCACGCAGTCGGCGCTGCACTCAGGCTGAAGGAGACGCAAGGAGGAGGCACAACGCCGACGACGCTTTGACAGCACGACAACAACGCGGCCGGCGGCAAGAGATGGTGCGTATGCCACAGACAGTCGTTTGTAACGTAACAACTGCGTACTCATAGCAAGACTTACTGTATTCAAATACCCTAGCAGTTTGTTGCACTGTCATTGTAAATGGCTGGCATCCGTGCGTTCTGGTAACGTGGACCGACCACCTTGACGTAGCGAATGCCATCTGGATCGTAATTTGAGACATCTGGTTGCAGTACCACACGGAAATACTAGAGCAATGTGTACAGCACCTGTTATATCTCATAGGATCAATATAGATACATGACGCTTTGCTCCGGACTCTGCGGGATCTCTCTACCACTGTGCCGGGCAACTTGGCTTGGTTACACCGGCGCGGTGCCATGGACGAGCGGCGCTTCTCTGCTGCCACGTACAGCTGACCACCTCGAACCAAGACGTAACGACGAGTCTGGACAGGATGTCTGTGCACGCGTTGGGCGTCTTGGCGATACTACAGTATAATGACTACGGCCAACTTAGATGCCGGGAAGCACCAAACAAAGCAAAAGTTGAAAGTTCTGTGTGGCAGTCATACAGACACTATCAAAAGGAAAATATCCCAGTGCGTCGCCGACACGCGTACGTACCGTTCCCAAGCGAGCACGAAACTCAAAGCAAAATAGTGTCAAGAACGTCCATCAAGAGGGAACCCGATTGCCAGAGATTCCCCATACTTTTCAAAGGACTATTGCTCGGATCTGGACGTGGCTTTGGGCGCAAACATTCTAAATGCGTGGTGCCACAGCATCTGTCTCGAGCATGCTTCGTAGTTACCAGCTGCTACGCGCAGTAGTGGCCTGTCTGCGATCGTTGCCACTCCAGATCCCAACGCACTTTTCAATCGTCTTCGACACCAACCCAACCAACCATGAAGCTCTCGTACCTTCCGCTTGCGCTCCTCGCTTTTGCCTCGGATCTCGTCTTTGGCGCCAATGCGCCTGGCTTGGCCGCCGGCGTCACGGGCGGCGGCAACGCGGCGCCTGTGTACCCCAAGAACATCAACGAGCTCAAGGCGTACCTCCAAGATGCCGCGCCTCGGGTCATTGTGCTCAACAAGACGTTCGACTTTCGCGGCTCCGAGGGCAAGAAG